CTAACCGCCTCCCGGTTAGCTCAATTGGTTAAGCGCCGGACTGTTGTGCGGGAGGTCGAGGGTTCGAGCCCCGGCCGGACCAACACTCAGGGTCTTAAAATAATTGAGAAGAATATGCTACCTTTCTATAACATCGATCAAGAAATGGTTAGATATTCTAGTCTTCTCGGATAGGGACGAATAAATGGAGGTCCCGTCTCCTGCAACTATTAATTAGTTAATTTGGTTAGGCAGGGGACGTTAAAGAACCCACTTCACGAGATTACTGTGATGTGGTCTGGCCTGGTTACTGGGAATAGGGGGGAGGGGGCATCTGTTATATTCGCTTTCATTTGATTGTAAACTGCTTAGCAGTCTGGTGAAGTCCCCCGTACAGTGTTGTAAAGCGCCATGAGGTTAAGACATGAGCGCTCTATAAATACAAGTTATTATTCTTATTATTCGAGAATGCCCCGAAATACGCAGTGTTATAATAACATCCCTGTAGTTTTCAAATGGTCTGTGCTTTCTATTTGGATCTCTTATTAAGCAACGAATGCCAAATTCCCTTTTTCGCGCTGGCAATTTTTGTTGTTGAAGCAAACACAATAGCAGCTAGTCTTTCTTTCTGGTACAATAAAACCAGCGAAGCAGTACAATACAGTGTTGCGCTGAAAATGCAGAAAGGGTTCCATAAGATGATTTCTAAAAGAATAAATCTCAAACCAATCTGGAAAACTAAAGAAATCAAAAAATTTCAGCGAGCAAAATTTAGCCCACTTTCCACCAAATAATTTTTGGACCCAAAATGACCAAAAATAGCATATGCAGTTCTGCATAATTTACCCCCTACTTTCCCAAAGCACTTAAATTTTTACCTGAGCTGGAGTCAAGGTATTTCCCATATTCACTTCCAGGTCTCCATATTTCACCTGTAAAATCAACCAATTGAAGGAATGTGAACTCGAATGAACTGCAATGGAGTGAATTGTTCCAGTCGTTCAAATGTGACAAGTTATCGTTACTTATTGTTTCTCAACACCGCTGTAAACTCATTCGTGTGAAGAGGTCTATAAATATCGTCTTTCAATCGTACGCCTGAGTCACCGTCTTACCCATTTTTTTTTTTAACAGTTAAGAGAACTGTCTTGAAAGACAATTATTTTGTTTCTTCCTCCCCATTAGGAGAGTAGGGCCAGGACAGTAACCTTGTGTAAGTTGCTTGCACTGTAAGTACATTTTGTTCATTGGCTTACCGTTACAAGTTGTGTTGGAATCACATCGACAACATCAGGAGCGATTGCATGGGCTTCCATGATTGAAATATTTTGGTTCGCTTTCCTCACAGCAAGGAACGAGGAACAAAGAAATTTACCTCAACTTTCGATCGTCCGCAACGTTGTCGTTACGAGTCACGCGCGGTCTGCAAAGAATGCGAACAATTCTCGCTGGTAGGGGGCTTTGGGTGTTTAAATTCACCCAACATAATTTATATCTACTGCCTGGACACGGGAAAAGGAAATGAGGGGGATATCCCTATAGCTGGCTAAATTCTAGCAAAGAATGCTCAGTAGTGCTAAGTATAATTTTAGAAAAAAAAAAAAAAAAAAGAGGCGATTAATATTATGTAATAGATTTGGTCACGGTGGTCGTGAACGATTTCGCCGCTGTCCGGGTAACATCAGAACGAGGCACAATAAAAATGGCGGCTGCAGTGCCGATGCTAGACGATGTTATCAAGGAATACCTTGTATTTCGTGGATTCTCAAACACTTTGAAAAGCTTTGAGTCGGATCTGAAAGCAGATAAGGACAAAAGCTTTAGGGTAAGCTACTTTAAGGAGGTATTACGTGCTGTTATTCTGCATAATTTGAAATAGACGTTAAGTAATCTTTATTTCATTTTCGCGAGTATAAAACTTCCGGGCAGCTCGTGCTTAGGTCATTTGTATTTCCCAATTACCAGACCTAAAGAAATTCATGCGGCGTATTTTCATTAACTTTGCAAATTATCAGATCTACCTACCTTGCTTATGTACAATCCTGTTCAGCTGTGTGTTCAGACTAAAGAAAAATAGAGAATATAAATGACGTGGTAATAATTTTTACTTTTACATGTCACATGTCACTGGCACATATTTCAGATTGTCAGGGCGAGGAATGAGCATTGGGTAAATTGTCATCTCTAATTTGCTCAAAAAAAAAAAAAAAATGACGATTGTGCAGGGCTCAACACTAACTTTTCAACTTACTAGCCAAGTGGCTAGTGACAAGTACAACATAGATGCTACAACAATTTCAGTTTGTTTACTAGCCCTAACTGGCTAGTGGAAATAAAAAACCACTCGCCAAAACTGAATTTCTACTAGTCTGTGGTTAGTTGGTTACTGTTAGTGTCAATCCCTTTTGTTAGTTTTACAGGGATTGGGAAGGCTATGCACCATGGGCATATGGTGCCGGTGCATGAATAAAGGAAATGGCATATCAAAAATCTGAAAAACTGGTTTCAAGTCTAATCATTGTGCAAATAGTCTTGTTAGGGAATATTTGAAAAAAGTGAATTGTCTGGTTTAAATAAAATAATGGTCGTCACAAGATATATGTACATGTAACAAGTTAAGTCTTGATAAATCCTATCCCCAGGATGTTATTGTGGCAAAGCTTAACAATTGTCCCTATTTCAGGTGGACAAAATTGTGGATCAGTTGTATCAGTACATCTTAAGCTATGACATTACGGGCCTCAGAGACTACTGGGAGTATTTAAATGACAGATTCTTCAAGAGGTTAGACTATCAGCACAATTCTAATGTCAAAAAGCTGGAGATGTGTCTTTTGCGGTTTTACATTGTGCATGCCATTCAGAACTCCAAAAATGACAAGGTTGTAGAGTTTTTCGAGAAGTATACAGCAGAGCTACAGACACAAACAGAGTGGAGAGAATGGTTTGGTGAGTCACTATTTTGTCCAATCTTGTTTAGAAATTATTGTATATTTGTATTTTTTTACCATCGATAAGGTTTACAAGGTTAAAGAAAGGGCAAATTAAAACATTAATAATTTTTCTGTGAGTCCTGATCATGTTTTGGACTTACCAGTCTTTTCAATAAAGTGTCCAAGTAACAATCTAGTTTTGTACTACAGTTGCTTTCCTTTGCCCTCTGTCTGGTCTGGAGCTTGTTCCACTCTCTCAACCAATCAGATGCAATACTGAAATCACTTGTGACCGGCAGTCACCAGCATGTTTTTGACTTTTATTGCAGATGGTTTGCTTGTTTGCATTTACAGAGTAATTCTGTTAAGCTTCTGGTGTTATTGCCCTTTGTTGTGATGATGTTGGTTTTTGTGTTTTAGTACTCAGTCAAAACTTTCCCAATACAGAGCTTGATAATACATAAATATGTAACAGGGCTCAACACTGACGGTAGCCAACTAGCCACAGACTAGTAGAAATTCAGTTTTGGCGAGTGGTTTTTGATTTCCACAAGCCAGTTTGGCTAGTAAACAAACTGAGATTGTCACAACATCTAAGATGCCACTAGCCACTTGGCTAGTGACAGTGTAGTTGAAAGGTTAGTGTTGAGCCCAGATGTAAGTAACCAAAATTAACAAATGGTAAACACCACAGCATACACTATTGAGTTATGGATGCACGCGGGAGGTTGCTAAGCACAAAAGAAGCGTAAGAGTCGCTCGACGCGATAGCCGAGAGCGACTCTAGCTTCTTGAGTGCTTAGCAAACCTCCCAAGTGCATCCATAACTCAATAGTGTACACTGTGGTGTTTACCATTTGTTTTATAACATAACATTGATACATTGGAGCTAAAGAGTTCCCTTTTATTTAACAAATCTTACGCGACCAGAAAACACAAGCGCACGCGTAAAAATAGTCTTTGCATTTGCTCACGTCAGCAGCGTACACCCATGGGCAAATGGGGGACGCTAAATTGACCAATCAGAGCGCGCGCTTTACTTTGGTTATGTTATAATGTAGATTATGGTACCCACTAGACTCATTCTCTAAATAAGTAACCGCTAATTGTATTATTCTACAATTAAAGTTTTTTTTAGTTTAACAACATCAAGTGGTTTTGCAACTGACATCTTCCTTTGATAACTGTCAGAAATTTTCTTACATCATTATCAGTTCATCCCAGCAGACTTGAAAGAGAGCACTCTGTGCATTCCTGTAACCAAGCTGATGATAACTGTGCCAGAAATTTCCCCATATTATTATCAATTGGCACAACCTAGTTTCCAGTGGCCCTTGGTGAAAAAAGTTTTGTACTGTCCTTGCCTCTAAGTCCTGCCAAAAACTGGTTCCCTTTCTCCTAAAACAACTTGATAATTCAGTAGTGTATAGTACTGAAATAAGATTCTTGATGTACATGATTGTATTTTTCTATTTTTCAGCTATTCCTTTCATCAAGAATCCTGATCAGAATGGATTATTTGAGATGTACTTTCAGAGGGCATGGCAGGAGACGTTTTTACTCTCACTTTACAACTTTCTGATTACTTTGTTCCATCACCTGCATATCCTTTTCACCAGAAAAGTGAAATATCATGTTAATTACTAGTACAACAAATCTAACCTTTCATTCAAATAAAGCTAATAATATTACTATCTCATTCATTTTTGTGCCTGCTGTTCCTTCCTTCTTCTACGCAGGAATGTAAACATTTAAAAATGTTGAATATTTTGTTTTAGGTATTTTACTTTGTAACTGAAATTGGAGTAGGCATAGTTGGCATATTGCTACTGCATTGTGGAATTTGGTAGAAAATCATTGTGTTAGTCTTATTGTTATTTGATTTTTTACAGCAATTTCAAAACATACCAACATCAAAACAAAATCTTCAAGGCTGTGCTCTAAGAAAAATTGAAGGGAGCCCAGTACTCTGAAACTGTGAAATCCAGGGTGCCCAGTATGTGCTTTTTATGCAAAAACCAAGATTCCTGAGTTCCCCAATAGCAAAAGTAAGGTGTCATGGGCCACCTGGTGCTGCTAGACCACAGCCCTGATCTTTACCATTTTTCCACAACAGTATATCAGTTAATTTCTGCAGGCAATTGCAGCTGTCCACTTAAAAGGCTGAATCACACTTACCAGTAGTACCGTCACAGATTCATCTCTACCCAAAAACCTTTTCAGATATCATTTTGAATTCTTTGACAGGCTCACTGAGCATTGTGATCTGTTTTTGTTGTCTAAGGAATTGTAATAAGCAATTCCTGATTAGCCTTTTACCAATTGATGTCTACTAGCAAGTAGCCCCTAGAATGTCTTAGCAGCAATTTCTGTATGATTTACTCCAATGTGACTTTAAAAATGATATAATTTCTGCATAACTGTTCTCACACAGTCAGATCGGTGGAACTTTTCCTTAATGCTTTAAACCTATGCCAACACTTCTTAAGTATGACGAGGAACAAGGAAAGTTGCACAGGTTGGAACAGGAAGTCCTGAAGCTTAAAGAGCAGGTAGTATCACTGGCAGACGAAGGAGCAAACTTACAGCGTCAGAAATTCAAACTAGAACAAGAGCTTTCAGAAAGCCGGAGGAGAGCTGCCACTGTTGAAGAGGATGATATGGAAGAATTTCAAGTTGTCCCAAGGTATTACCTACAATAATTGTAAAATAAATGTTTATTACTGACCAGTGTAGATGTATCTCTCAGTTTGTATATATACACTATGATTGATCAATTTTGTGATTAGTATTTCCCCATATGGCCGACTAAATTTAAAAGTTAATCAAACTGAAATTTTCTTCCTGGCTATATTTGAACCCAGAGATATTGTAGATATCTTACTGACCTGTACTTTAAGTCGCAAAACTTTGTTTTTCTGCCCAGATTGATGGCCTTTGTGCTTTGCATTGGGTCATAAATCAGAGCAGAAAAAACTTGATACTCAAGTTACTGTTTAGACCTCAACTCAGTTAGGAAGAGTTATTTAATATAATTATTCTTCTTCCATGGGGTGTGGCTACCATATGTATATCTTTGTACCTGCAGACATACAAATCCTCTGGATTTATATTAAAAGCCAGAAAATTACAAGATGTTGTTGAGTCACCTTGCCTTGTGTACTTGCAAACAAAATTCTGAATATTTAATGAGTGAAATGATTAGCTGTATTCAACAAACAAAATCTGAGTGAGTGGCAGGTTAATTTTCAAGTCATGATAATATTATTGTGATTTTAATATTTTTCACAGGCAACAAGCTCAGTCTGGTAAGTTTCTACCAACTTCTTCATTGTCAAAAAAAATTACCAAAATGTTCAAGGATAAGCAAGAGAAGAACAAAAAGGGAAAAGATTTAAAATCACAGCAGCTTCAAGAGGATCAAGCACAAGTAAAACTTAAGAGGCAACAAATAATCAAACAGCAACAGCAGTTACAGGTTAGAGAAAATTAGGCAACCTAAATTCTTTAATTACTTTAAATTAATAATAATTTATTTTCTGAATTGAGTTGATGGCTGAGTTTAACATGGGGGTGTGCAGAGACATGGTTCCTCAGAAAAATTTGATTTCCAGCTTTCTAGGACATATTTGATCAAGTTTTTCAGACAAGTTAAAATAATATTTATTTTCTGTCTTTGTTCACAATGCACAAAGTAGCTGATGTGAAATGGTCTACTAATGATAACCCTATATAGTTTAAATAGGCCTCAGTGGCACTTCTAATCAATTAATAGTAGTTATAGACATTGTCTCCACTGGAGGCATTTTCCCTTAAATTAATGTGTTTGTTTTTCTTTGGATACTGTAGTGGATATGATTCAGTTTGTAATCATACGGGTGATTGACAAAATCGGATGATGGCGAAGTGGGAGTTTAATTTGTCAATCACAAGTTGTTATAAGGTTGTCATCTTTTATATTGACAGCACAGTGGCAAATTACTATTATTAAATGAATTTTGTGGAATAAATTTAATTTGCATCGAGTACCAGGCATGTTTCCAAAGTGTGCTAAAATCCAGTCAACTCTTCATTAATGACTACTTTATTTTTAAAGTGCCAAGTTCTTATCAGAGAGCACTTTGTAAAAAATTGTTTCACTGCCCACATTTCTTGAATAGCCACAATCTCTTAGGGTACAAATCTTCAAATTCTTATGGTTTTCTTTGTCTCAATTAAGAGAATCTGAAGGAGTGTTCCTCTAATAGAATCTGGTGATCTTATTGCCTTTCTAAATTGAAAACACATATGAACTGAACATTTAATATTTCCCTTGTCTGGAATATACTTAACAATTTTAATTTTGATTGATTGTATGAAAATGAAAAAACCAATGAGAGAGTTGCAAACTGGTGTAAATTGTATGATAATTCAGTACTGTACTGTAGAATGAGAATTTTTCAGAGGAGGATCACAGTACACTTGCTTTATTTCAACTGATTAGCAGATCCATCCAGCTTTTGACTTTTGAATTTGATTTTTACTTAACTGTACAGCTGTATCTCCAGCAGCCACTACCCCCAAGTGACCACTTTTCTTGCAGTTGTATGTATGTGTGTATTTGCAATATTTAGTCAGGCTGGCCCAGTTGAAGCCAGTTTTAATGGGGACGTGTATAAACATCAACAAGGCCAGACCACAACACTGGGAGCTACATTCCGTACTTGATCTTTGTGAGAAGTGCATGGGTTCTTTATTGTACCCTGCCAATCAGTACAGAGAAGGTACAGAAGACAGGGCCTACAATTTATCATCCTTATCTGAGAAGACTAGAATGTGTAATCTTTTGTGGATGTCAGAGCAAAAGCAGTACATTCTCCTCATTTATTTTTAAACACTGAGTGTTGGTCGGCTCTGGGGCTAGAACCCTCAACCTCTTGCACAGCATTCCAGCGCTCCACAATGAGAGCTAACTAAGCACAGTTGCACTAAAGATGGTTGTTTATTATAAGAGAGTTGATTGTATCACTTTTGTTTTCTTTTGCTTTAAAGCAATTGCATGAACAGCAAAAGCAGCTATCACTCATGGAGGAAGAGCAGCTTAAGTCAAGTGTAGTAGCTGCTTCATTTGAAAAACCTCAAGGTCAGGAAGTTGAAGTTCAGACTGACTTGACGCGTGACGAGGAGGATGCTAAGGCCTCAAAATCTTATTTGTCAAAAACTCTTAGCTTGGAAGCATCTTCTGCTAAAGGCCAAGACGACATAGACAAGTTTGGACGTGCTATCCGCAGGAGTAAGACATTGCCTGTAAAGCTGAAAGGAACTCAGTTGGAGTTTACAGACGACAAATCAGGTAACCATTGATCTATGCAGATAAGGAGTTAGTGGGAGTCTCTTCTGTTATGGATTAAACATCTGTACAACTGTGAATCCAAAGTTCAGCATACCAGCTTTACCTTTAGACCCCTAAGAGTGACTAACTAGCAATTTTTACCGGTTATAGCTGTCTATAATGACTGCCTCTCCTGTTGTACTCAAGGTGGCCATTGTGGGGAGGTTGACTGTTTTTTTTCTTGTGGTCTTTGAGGGATTAAGTTCAAGCAATTGTCAGTTGATTGTCATAGGTAATCTGGGAATTAATGCTTTTGTTCTGCTTCTTCTTTGGTCAGTGATTGGTATAGAAAACTCGCACCATGCTCTAAACCAATCAGACTACAAACAAAAAGACAATTGTGACTTGCATGTATTTATCCGTGCTTTTGGTAGTTTGCCTGTTTTTACTTTGAGTTCTCATTGGTTTTTGCAACGGTCAAATGAAAACTGCTCTGACAAGTCAGAGTAAACAGTATTTTTATTGTTATCATCAGGTATTGTATAAACAATGCTTGTTCTCAGAAACTCTCAGTGAATTGACAATAATAAAGCTATAACTGTGCTGCAGTACAGCTGTAAGACAGAGACAGAATAAAGAGTAACGTTTAGTTATGATTGTTATTATAGTTATGTTTTGTCACCAATTACCATCCATGTTGTTATTTTTGTAAATTTTAGAAGATGCACTTTCTAAAACAGTTCATTTTCAAGGTAAGCATGACATTCATGTGGATTTATGTAAGTACAGTGGAGCTTACTTTTCCTAGTAATTCTGCAGGTATACATGTATGTATAAGCTTTGAACATCAGAGAACACCTGTCTCTGAATGTTTGATATGAAAAATAAGTGTATATGGCTATGTGCTGTGGAAGAGGGAATAATCATACCTTATTTTTTCTTAGTCTTAGAAGTTACGGCTCTCTTTGAGCTATAAATCACATGCCCTGTACACTAAAGTATGTCTTACCTGCTGAGTAATTTTGTAAATGTGTTTTTTCCAGGGCCAGGTGACCACAAGTCCAAGCATTTTATTTTTCTTAGCCAGGTATTTCTCAGCGATGTTAGACCTTAGCATTCCAACATTATCAACAACTTTTAATAGCACCTCTGTCAACTTATGGTACCTTTCCTAAGAATGACTGGTACTATTAAATTTCATACCCATTCCAACCAGGTTTGCAGGTCTTCGATTTAATCTATGCCCTCCTCCTCTCCCCTTCCTAGGTGCCTGCACTCCTCTGTATTCCAGTTTTGCTCACAGATCTTTTTTCCTTTTTAAATTTTTCCTTTTCTTTTCTTTTAACAAATGATGACCTTTGAGATCTCACAGCGGTCCATTGGATGATAGTGGCTTTTCTCATGGACTCTAATAGAGCTCTAATGAAATGAACAAAGATTACTGACCAGACACTCCTGACAAGCTATGCGATAGAATGGAATTCATTCAGGGCGGGTAGAGTGATCTGGTAACACGGTAAACATGTGCCTGAGCTGGGAGCTTCTGTTAGAGCCTCAGGGCATAATTCCTTCCAAAGAATTAATAAGAGAAGGGGGGGGGGGGGGGGGGGAAGACTGGAGGTGGACTTTGTACTTGAAAGACAGCTCGATCAGTGTCCAGAATATTTTTGCCCTTGGTCATCAATAGAGGAATAATGTCACTTTAAATGCTGCATAAGGAAATGGTGGTTGTAAAAACCTCTGCTTGAATAACAAAAGTGAATGATCCACCCTTTCCAACTCAGTGATATTTTATTCTTAGGATGTCTACAAGGAACATCACTCAGCGATCGTACACTGCAGGTTTTCTTCCAGTGGAAGGATGATTGGAAGCGCTGATGCTGATGGGATTGTCAAGTAGGGGAACGTTGCATGCATTCGGTGGTGTATGGTGATAGTTTCCCTTTCTATTTGTATTTATTTGTAATTGTTTTTGCGATTACCCATGGTCTTTAACTCTTTTACCCCTAAGAGTGACCAGGATCTAATTTCTCCTTACAAAGTTACCCCTAAATCACACTTTAAGGTCAAGAGAATAAAGGAAAAGATCACCAACTAAAGAAGCTCTTGATTGTTAAGCAAATTCTCCTTGTCAGCACCTTAGGAAATGTATAGAGAACACTATGGAGAGTATGGATGCTGATGTTAGGGTGTAAAGGGTAAATTTGGTTTTATCAACTGATTTTATAATGTCAATTGGCCAGAGTGAAGTCAGACGAAGAACTAACTCTTGAAACGTCAACTTTGAAACTCTTCACGGTGGCCAATTTACATTATCAACTCAGTTGATAAAACCATAATTACCTTGTTATACTACCTAAGCAGCACTACAGTTTCTTTAGAAACTTATCCCCTTTTGTAAAGGGTAGAGCTTGATTGAATGATTTTCTTCATGGTTAATTACGCAAATGCACAGTTAAGATCAGCCTAAAATTTCTTTTCAACATTTAACTCCTCAATGGATTTTGTGAATGTGTTTTCGTATCTTTCCTTTCTTTTTTTTTTTTTTTCTGTAGAATTGCACAAACCATAACATGAACTTGGAAACACTATATTCCAGTAAGATAAGGGCAGTCAGTGAGATGTTCCCTTCTTACCTCTTAACTTTTCATGATTAGGGTTTGGACAAACCATCCTGACATCCACACCAGTAGCACCATCATGTGTAAATCTCCCTTGCTGTCACTGGAGTGGGCTCCGAAACCGGACAGACTGGTAGGTAAAAGTCAAGCTTCTACTCGTGCAGCTATTATTGTAACCCAGCTTTCCTAAAACTTGATATGAAAAGTAGGTATAATTTGCTTCAAGCTTGTTTTTTTTTTTTAATTTGCTTTACGGCGTGCGTATACGCTTGGTTTTGCTAGTGCTCCGTATAGTGGTTCTGCAGGTGACTCGCAGGAATTGAATTGAAAAGTACCTGTATATCAACCCAGTTGAAGCTCACAACTGATGCGTTCATGACAGCGCAATTTTCAATTGAGTGCCGAAAGTAATTCGGGATTGCTTTGGTTTTACTTCCGTTCGCTCTGCGATTGGTCCAGAAAACTCGCGCCACTCTCTCAACCAATCAAATTCTAAATTAAAACCAATCACGACTTGGTCCTTGGCGTTTTCCCGCGCTCTAGGCAGTTTCCTTGATTTTACTACGAGTTCTGATTGGCTCTTAAAAGATATCTTCCTTTCCTCGGATTGGCTTTTGTGGTTACTTTGGTTTTGGTTTAATGGGACTCGATCGAAAAGCGTTCTAATAGTTTTTAATCATTTGTAGTTTTCATTTTCAATTTTCCCTCATGTATATTCAAATTATGACTTCCTATCAAATGCTACTGGGACCTTTAAAGTGATATTGACTTCATTTTCGCACACACTCGGCCATCTGTCTCCGTCCGCCACAAAATTTAACTTTTCTGTTTAATACTTTTTCTCTGGCGCTATTAAAGATAGTGATTATTCACTTCCATGTTAGGTCTCTTGTTAATAGAACAATGAAATTATAAAGGCTATAGATTATGAACATAAATTTTTGTTTTGGTTTTTCTTTTTTTCGTAGCTCCTGTTAGGCACTGGAAATGGGAAAGTTCGATTTTTTGACACAGAAAATAAAAAGACCATTTGCGATGTCGCGACTGACTCTCAGTATCCCAGGTGAACTAAAGGAATTCACCCTTTCTTAATGTCGTGATATAATTTTAGTGTTTCTTTCTCAATCTGTTGGATTGAAGCAAACACGACAAGTAGTTAAATGTGTAGAGTACCTACACAGAGAATTATGGACGAAGGGTAAATGGCTATTGTAAGCTCTCACTTCGGTCGGTATAAGACTCTGACGGTCACCATGGAGAGTGATGCAAAATTTATCATTTTCCGACATGACTTATACACACACGGTACGTAACAAGACCTTCACTCACACGAACGTGCTGCTCAGAAAGGTGGTTTGTCGTTACTCGATCTTCCTTGTGTATCGACTTTTTTTTTTGCATTAACCAGGTATGTGGTTTACATTTTCGACATGAAAATATTGGGATTTCTCCAGAACAGACCAAGATACATGACCTAACATACAAGAGTCGTATCTGTTTTATTCCGAACACCATGCTAAACTTGTCAATGTAAAGACTGAAAAGAAGTCTTTATTAGTTATACCAGAAAATGAACGAAGGAAGAAACAAACACGAAACCAAAAATTGATTGTCTTTTCTAGAATAGTTTCACTGTCGTGCAGTCCTACCGGAGGATCTTTTGTGTGTTCAGCGGCAGCAAGCAAGAAATCTTTGACGTCATCGTTGAGGTTATCCCAGTCGTTTTCAAAGTACAGTGAAATGTCCTCTCTGACGTCAAATAGTGTAGGTGGCTGCGCGGGTGTGTTGCAGTGCTGGGATATGAAAGCCATGAAGGTTGAGGTATGTTATCTGGTAATTGGGCGACTCCCAGCAGTAAGGCCAAAATTCTTTTTATCCTCTCATCAACTTCATGACTTTTTCTCTCTTATTTTGGAGGAGGGAAGGGAACCTTCTCTACCTCTTCCATTCGGACCTTTTTGATTCCAATCCTCATTGGTAGGTAAAGCATATTTTTGTGTAATTTTCCTTATTTTTCTCAGCGCCAGCTTCCCCTCGATCCGGTGCCGACTTGTATAAACTGCACGACGTTTAACCACAATGGAACTCTTTGTATATCAGGGGGAGCGGATGGCATGATACGGCTGTTTGGTGAGTTATTTCACGCGGTGCAGTGTGTTATAAAGGTCGAATTTTATTTCAGGTATTTGTGTGGGTTCTGCTGCTCGATTTTCGTTTTCTCGCTGGGTTGAAAGAGCCTAGCATGATATTTGCAGTTGTTTTCTACGCATGATTACTTTTGATTTTGTTTGTTGAGAGAGACGAAGAGACACCGAAGTAAAGAATGGACCGTGGGTAACGGACGAGATTAAGGACAAAAGTTCTGGATTACCCTTCGGAAAAAAGTTTTAAACTTTTGCAAGGCGTAAAGACTGTTCCATGTCGAATGTCACGGCCTTCGCGTCTTAAAAATTTTGTTCACAAGTTATGGAAACTGTTGCTCCTCGTGATATCTGTTTCCTCCCTCTCCCCTCCTCCTCCTCATGAAAAGTTTTATTATACAAGAGGTTTCCTTTTCTTATTATCAAATTAACAAATGGTAAACACCACAGCGTACACTATTGAGTTATGGATGCACGCGGGAGGTTGCTAAGCACGAAAGAAGAGTAAGAGTCCCTCGAGGCGATAGCCGAGAGCGACTCTAGCTTCTTGAGTGCTTAGCCAACCTCCCAAGTGCATCCATAACTCAATAGTGTACGCTGTGGTGTTTACCACTTGTTCCATTGTGTTGTGAGGTCCTCAACTGGCCTCAAGTAACTGTTATTTTACACTCGGTAAAATTTTTTTTTTTCAATCTTGTTACCCAATACAGATATGAGGTCTTATGACTGTTTAATCGGTTGGCAAGCTCATGAAGGTGAAGTATGTTCAATGCAGTTAAGTGCGGACGAAACCACCGCTTACAGTATGGGGACAGACGGAAAGGTAAGCCATTAAGCTAGATACAATCGACTCTTTCTAAGTGATACTGAAGACCGTAGCTTGCACACAAGATATTAAATTGTCCAGGGGATTTCATGTCACTATTTGCCCAATATAATTAGAGCCGGAACGTAATTTTTGTTTCCACTGATACAGGGGAACTTGGACACCTTTGTACTCCATTACCAGTAGTTACGCAATATTTTGGCTGGCTCCCATTCTTTTTTTGGGGGAAAAAGGGCACTTTAAGAGAAAGGATTCTTGCTCAAGAACATTACACCATCAAGAGCTTTTATAGTAGTATCTATGAGGGCAGAACTGAGAAAGTCTCATCATCACCGTTAACCAACGTTTTTTTCCCATAATCCAACTGTATTGCATATCAATACAATATAAAGTAGAGAAGTTATGAGAGTAAAGACATATATCAATTAGGGGATTATTAGTTGATCCAATACCAAATTCTCCAAAGTAACGCTATAAGAATTGTAAGTCAGACAGAAGGGAGAATTACTGAGGAGATCTTGGGAGTGAAAGGTTTTATGACAGCAGCAGCATTCCTGTTCGCTTCGTGCCCCTTAAACTGGGATAATCTTCACCTTTATGGCCCAGTTCTTAGGCCAACACAGACCTCTCTATCCTAACGAGCCAATCTAGCAAAGAGATTTTGATACTCAGATAATTGAGCTCTTGTCTCTCGTAGTTCTCACAATGGAGTTTACATCGCATGGGTCAAAAAATAACTGACGTTGATATTCACGACGGGGCAGTGTGGTGCGATGCAGACAAATCCAGCGTCTTACAGAGCAAGTGCAAGTACATGACTTCACCATCATCTTATGGCAAGATGTTTGCTTTTGATTCTGAAGGACAATATCTTCTTTCCTGTGGACCGGAGTGTGGAGTGGTATATAAAGTAAGTTGTGTAGTGCTAAATACGTGACCGCGTAAAACGATGGAAACGAGGACATTTAGGAAGTAGAGTTTTTTTTTTTCCTTGCGTAACAGCGTAAATTTTCCTCATATTCATCCGTCCTTTCTTCCCTCTTCCCATTGACCTTCTTCTCACCAAACTCCTTTTATTTCTCCCTCTTCTCTTCTCTTCTCTTGCCATCCCACCTCCACTCAATCTTTTGAGCCTCCATTTATTCCTCTCTCCTCATTTCTCTCTTTTCTTAAAATTAACTTCGTTTTTTAACTCTGCAGGTCGAAAAGAACCAGGGTTTGAGTCCAGCGTTAACTTTACCAGCAGAGCAGAAGTCACCAGTTGTGAGCGTAGACTGGAGCTCCTCTATGAGCTGCTACACATGCCTTACTGGCTTCGTAGGTGGTTCAATACAAGTCACATCTTTGTTAAAACAGTAACGATCAATTTTAGCTTTAAAATTAACGAACTGGTTTGTTACCTTTTTGAACATGATAGTCGACCCTTTAATACCGCATCCGTACAAATGCAAGATGGTGTCAAACTTACAAGGGACATGACTCAAGTTAGGGGCGGACCATTTAACTTTTGAGGAGTGGGGTGGGTGATTTCTGGTCATCAAGAATTTTTTTTCTAGCAACTGCTGGGCAGGATATTTTTTTCTGTTCTAAATGCTCTCTTTTTCCCGTTACATTTGGGCTGCATGCAATTTTTCTCTTCAAACAAGCGCTTGCGGGAAATTTTTTTTCAAAATCACCCACCACCCTCCCCCCCTACCCTTAAGAGTTAAAGGGTCGGCCCCTTACTAAACATCCTCAAGGTTACATTTCTTTAGCTTTCGTATACCCGTACAATCCCTCCCTGTGCTCGAGAAGACGTCCGAGAGAGGGTTGGTGGGGTTACATACAAGCCACATTAGACTAGTCCTTCTGTCGTCCACAGTCAGCCCAAGTTGCAAGATGTATATTGTAAACTTGAACTGTGCTAAGAATTGATTTCATTTTGTATCCAAATTGTTTTTCCATCATATTTTTTAAATGGCAATTGAAAATATCCTGATTTTTGCGCCCGACGAAAGTAAAATAGTCGTTTTATAATTTGAGATTGTAACTCTTATTTGAAAAAAATGTCCTTTGTTAAAAATGTCGACAACGTTACAAAAGATCACCACAGGGTGAATAATATATGCAATTGAAATGACATATACTGTATGACAGTTACATATTATTATTTTTTTCTTTTGAAGAACAGTAATGAATGATTAGAAATATAAAAAAAACTGACACGGGGATACGAAAGATGTATATTGTAAAACTTGAACTGTGCTAAGAATTGATTTCATTTCGTATCCAAATTGTTTTTCCATCATATTTTTTAAATGGCAATTGAAAATATCCTGATTTTTGCGCCCGACGAAAGTAAAATAGTCGTTTTATAATTTGATATTGTAACTCTTGTTTGAAATGAATACCCTTTGTTTAAAATGTTGACAACGTTACAAAAGGTCGCCACAGGGTGAATAATATATGCAATTGAAATGACATATACTGTATGACAGATACATATTATTATTTTTTTTCTTTTGAAGAACAGTAATGAATGATTAGAAATAAAAAAGAAACTGACACGGGGATACGAAAGATGTATATTGTAAATTTGAACTGTGCTAAGAATTGATTTCATTTTGTATCCAAATTGTTTTCCCCTCATATTTTTTAAATGGCAATTGAAAATATCCTGATTTTTGCGCCGGACGAAAGTAAAATAGTCGTTTTATAATTTGATATTGTAACTCTTATTTGAAAAAAATGTCCTTTGTTAAAAATGTCGACAACGTTACAAAAGATCGCCACAGGGTGAATAATATATGCAATTGAAATGACATATACTGTATGACAGTTACATATTTTTTTTTTCTTTTGAAGAACAGTAATGAATTATAATTATGATTAAAAAAAACTGACACGGGGATACGAAAGTGAAAGGTAAATTTTTGTAACAAGTGGATCAAATAAAAACAAGTAGGTAATTTTCTTCATTACTGGTATGCATTTTTGTACTAGTTAAGTTCAATATACTTAGCTCTCTCTGGTAAGGTGTTTCCTTGGGTTTTTTTTTTTTTACATTGATTATCTTTTTAGCAATCTACCATCAAACCTTCCCATTACTTTTCACTCAGAGAATCACTATCCTTGTTTGTTGCACAAATTGCCTCTGTTCAGAAATAGTATTCAATTGCAAACAAGAGATAAAGCAAGTGAAAGTGTTTGTAGCAAGTAGATTAAGACTAGTAGGTAATTCTCGTTTTACTTCTATGCTTATGTACAAGTAAAGTTCAATATACTTTTCTTACTAAGAGTTTTTCGTTAATTTTCCTTTAATTTGATTTGATTTTTTAATTTTTTTTCTTTTCAACCAACTACCCTCAAGCGTTTTCCCTATTTCACATTTGGTATGTATGGATTTCATTTTAGTGAATTACTCCGCTTGTTTGGTTCCGCAAATTGCCATATTTATGATAAAGTAACTTCCGGCGTTCCCCTCCGTCCTAATAAGGTATTAGGGACCTCAAGCAGTCAGGACGGCAACGCCAAGGAAGACTTCGATTAAAAAATGAATTTCTACTCTTAGTTAGAATTTCAAAAATGGCTGCAGGAGCTTACTGTCTCATACGGCGCCACAGCTCAACTTCAGCATGACGTATAAAAGTAGCGTTGAGTTCCTAATGGAAATTAAAATAATTTGCCGTCGCGGTTTCGGTTCGCAGACGACGCAGATTTTGGTGATTTCACGTTGTTGTTCTGCATTGGACGGCTAAGAAATGTACAAAGTTTCAAAATGCACGTGCTGGGCTATTGTCCTGCCAATTACATCTCTTGTTTTTCCACGTCCTCGTTGCCGTCGCCGTCGTGGTTGCTTAAGGTCCCTATTTGCACAGTTTCCTAGTACTTGATTCTAAGTAGTCGCTTTTAAAGGCCTCACGAACTCTAGGAGATGAGGAATGATGAGGCAAAAATGGTCACTTTTCCGTAAATGATCATGCCCGCTGGTTCAACCTTGAAAACAGTAGATGCACCTAACCAGCTCTCGAGGCTGTATGCTTCAGTAGTAACCGATAGCAGGGAAATTTTTATGTGATTTTAAGAGATTTCTTAAGAGTTCTTCCGGTGTAAAAGTTACTCCCTTCACGCTAGTGGATGTACCTGAATTGTACTCAAGATTCGGTCATGGTTGTAAGGTACAATGACATTAAGCGTTAGTTGAATTCTTGGTAACTCTTGTTAGCTTTCGTTGTATAACGCGTTCTCTCTTAGGCCTGTCCTGTGTGTTCGGTTAATAAACGGGGCGCTCATAGCTATCGTTACCCTGTTTTTCATATATTAACCAAACACGTAGAAAAGACAAAGAGCACGTTACGTGACTGGATCAAGTTTTCGGTGTATACTTTATGGAAGGCAACTACTAAATGTTGCATATCTCTCCGATGGTATACCTCATAAAAGCCTAAGTGTAATGTAACTTGGTTTAAAAAGGTGTATTGCAAGTAAGCCTTTCGTAAGCGTAGTATGTATAGTAAGTTCCGCATATGATCCCGTACAGGCCTGAATTTTTTTTAGGTCTTAATTTTACTATTGCTTAAATAGTGCTCCTCACTGCGAAGATCGTTCTCATAAAATTATGCGTTTCTGTAACCGCAGTTCAAACATATGATTTTCATATATTCTTAGCATATGTAGTAAGTTAGGTAAGTGTGGTAAATGTAGTAGGTATAGTAATTGTAGTAGGTGTAGTAAGTGCAGTAATTGTAGTAGGTGTAGTAAGTATAGTAGGTGTAGTAAGTGAAGTATCTTTTAGATACACTAGTATGAATTATTACACGACTCGGGAAGTCAGAGGGCCAATAACTAAAATCAACCAATCAAAATGCTCTATTGCCGGTCAATATTCTCTCAGTTTTGGACCGGGCACTGTCCCGAATGGTCCCGAATGATGCCGCACTTGTGTCCCTTTGAACTTCAGTCGTGTAATACATCTCTTATTAACCAAGCTTGCTCGGGACCGTACTGGAAGAATATCGGCCCTCGATCTTTTTTGTACGGTCCTCGCTACGCTCGATCCGTACTGTCAAGACCTCGGGCCGATATTCTCCCAGTACGGCCCTCGCGCTTGGTTAATAAGATATATGTATACCCCCGGCGAATGGGTAGGTTCAAAAACGAAGACCAAAGACCCTTACGAAAACGAAAACCCACTACGAAAACGAAGATCCATTACGAAAACGAAGACCCCTCCCTCCCCCCCCCCCCAAAAAAAAACACGACTTTTTCAGTTCTCATGATCTTGTAGCCTGTTATTTTGTATCGCCCGGAAATTGCGGCTCGGTGAACACGTTGCGTGACAGTTTAAGCGCAAGTGGTAAAGATAACTAAATACAAAATAACAGACTACAAAATCAAGAGAACTGAAAAGGTCGTGTTTTTTAAGAATAACTCCGATTTTTTGGAAAGGTTGCAGAACTAAGTAATGCGAATCATTTTAAGAGTAAATCACTTAACGTGCACACAGTCAATGAGGGAGAGGCTTGGCCTGTTAACATTATTCAATAGTCGCCGCTATCTTCCTCTCCAACTAGTAAATGATTATCACTGTCCCAGGAAACTTCAAGGGTATTTTGTATTGAGATTAAAACTTCGTTGTAAAGCCCTCAGAGATAGTAAGGAACTCCATCTCCCACGATACAAAACAGCTATGGGCCAGTCGACATTCGAGTATCCCGCTGCAAAGGAATGGAATGACCTCCCCAAGGAACTGCGTGCTTGCGAAACGCGGAGAATTTTTAAAATTAAAACTTTTAAACTTCTATTAGAATCAGATAAGGCACAACACAAATGTAGCATATAAGATTTTTTTTTTGGGGGGGTGATTCTCTCAGTTAATCTTAACTTGTATCTATATTGTATTTTTTTTAATAGACTAAGTATTTATATGCACTGATCACCGGTTTATACCAGCGTTTTCTATGTTGATTTCGCTGATCGGTTTTTTTTTAGTTTAAATAAAGCATTTATTATTATTATTTTATTGTTATTGTGGCTAAAAGTCTTATAATTTTGCATTTTGAGTTAACGCACGCAAGACATCGAAAAAGATTACACACGTCCGGTTTCTGTGAATGATTGTCCTACTGGGTCTTCGTTTTCGTAATGGGTTTTCGTTTTGGTAGGAGGTCTTCGTTTTCGAAGGAGTCTTAGGTATTCGTTTTCGGGGTCTTCGTTTTCAAAACTACCCCCGGAGGGATATGTAACATTTGTGGTTGCCTTCCATGAAGTATATACCAAATATTAATTCGCAGCGCGCTGAGCTTTGGGCTCCCATTTTCCGTAGTGCGTGTCTGACTTGAGTATCTCCACTCAACAAGGATGACTTCACATCTCATCCTTCCTCCCATTTCAAGATTAAATGGAGTACGTTTTTTCGTAGGTTTTCCCTAAAAAGCTGTTGATGTGTACTCCACATCCGTCACACCTCGCAATAAGTGACCTATTAGACACTCCTCGACTACGCGAATTTTGACATGTCGTTTGTAATGTAGGAATATTCCTCAATAATTCTAAAACATCAGACTTAACTCGCTAATTAGAGAAATTTCAGTGAGAATTCACACACTTGGCCACTCTTAAAGATTTCAGTGATTAGAGGGATAGGTTTGATGAGGGTCCACAATAGGGGTTCTCAAATCCCGCTTTCCCGCCTTTTTTCCTTCTCAATCCCGCCATCCCGCCCCTTTTTACGCCCGGATCCCGATCCTGCCCCATTTTTTTACGAGATTTTTGACATGTTTTGCTTAATCATTGAAATTGGCGTTATGACTTACCTTCTATCAGTTGTCAGTTTTGATGGTCCAGGTTCTCAACATCACAATTAGCGACCATAACTTTCTTTTCTGTTTTGCTTAATTATTTTTGGGTTCTCGCATCGGTACATGCATGTTTACCTCGATAATTTAAGTCCAGTATTCTTGGAATTAGATAGATTGATGTTATCTGTCTGTCTTAAGAAGATTCGACTGCTTTGCTGCTAGTTTCCATCAGGCGATGAAGCCAATTCTGTCAATTGTTTACATTGAGTTTAGGACATGGAAATTGTATATAAAAACACTGGTCTTTTCTAAGAAAACATAAAACTGCTGTTAAATCTAACAGCACGACCAAATGCGGACACCCTTCTAAGCAGGAAGTTTGCTTCACCATCCAAAGTGGCGACCCTTACAGATCCTTCTCCTACTTGGTATTCAGTTTCTTCTTCTTCCGCACTGCTACTTGTACCATATTCGTCAGGAAGGTCGACATCTCCTGTTAGGTCAACGCTTTCCCCTGGCACAATGTCTTTCTCGTACAAGAAGTCGGGGAGCGTTACAGCCCTAGCCATGGTCGTTTCTTGTCGGACGGTTCTTTAACGAACTGCAGCCCCAAAGGTATGTGCCCTTTCCCTCATAAGCTGGGCGTCTTGGGCACTTACTGCCCCAGGTGGAAGTTGTGGTGCTAATGAAATTCCAATGAGTGCCGCTGCGCGGTCTGGAACGATATACCACGACTTTGGGTTGGTATAATAAAATGCCGCCCAGTTTGTTGTCTTCTTTATACTTTCCTTGACAGCGTTTCCGAAATTCCTGGTATATTCAAGGGCAGTGCATAAAGGTGATTTCTAATGGACCGCAGAGTGACAGTTTTCTACATCTAATGTCATGCAGCGCAGGAGGTTGGTCCAAGTATAACCCATTGGCGCTAACAGGTCATAAAGTCTCTGAAGGCCAGACTGCAACAATGAAACAGACTCTATTGTCTTCTCAGCCACATTTCCCTGTGGTCCTTTAAGGGACCTTGGCAAGCTTTGGATTTCACCGCGAATCAAGGCCTCGTTTCGGCGAAGATATTGCAACGTTTCTTTAAGCAGTGTAACGGCATCTTGTAGATTGCAAAGCTCGTACTGTGCATGCTTCTCGTGGACGGAGAAAGCCTTGTATATCTTTCTGACTGCATCTAGAAATGCAGCGGTTTCATGCAGAGTGGTGAATACCTTGATACAGTTGGCTCAGGCATCACATATATACAAGACACGGTCAAATTCCACACAAAAATCCAGCAGGTTGGTAGAATTCAGCATGCGAAGCCAAGCCATCTCTGGTGCCCTCTGCACCGGTACCTGCAAACACCTTCACTCTTTCCTCGTTTCTGATCCAGTGCAGGATGCGATGCGATTGCGGATCTGAATATACCAAACCATCTTTGTAAACCGCAATGGAGGGAGCCAAGGAACAGTAGTCTGGACCGGAAGAAATAATCCGTGCTCTTAAATATCATGATGCTGATAATGAAACTTTCTCGATTCCTTGACGGTGAGAAATATAAATGTCACTATTTAAGATGGCCATCGATCCGACGTTTCCCCATTCGTTTTGGTACTCTACAACTGCTGCTGCCTCTCCTCGAAGCCAATGTCCGTCGCTGGAGCAGGTAACGGCAAAAATTTACTGCTTGCTTTTACATGCTGCGTAGATCATGTAGGGATCTACGACGTGTAGTGCCTCAAACTGAGATTCCTCGCCGGAGGTACTCTAGAAATTGATAGCAGTAGGGGAAAGCCCTCTTTCTTGGTATTCTGCCTCGATCTTCTTAACTTGCGTGGCGATTCGATTCTTTAATATTGCCACGGTTCCATTAGCAGATAGTCCAAGCTCGCTGGCTTTCTGAACTACATCTTCTCGTGAACGCAGTTATCCTAGGTTAACACGCACGGCCCCTTGTTCTAGCTCATAAAAAATAATGGGGCCTCCTTTCCCAACCATGAATACAATGTCATTGACGTGGTGGACTTCTTTGGCGAGAAAATCTCCTTTAAGCTTTACAATTTTTTGGACGGGGTTATGAAGTTGTGCCATAAAAAGACTCGATAAACCAGTGACTGTGTTAAGTGAGAGAAATAACAGGCTTCCGTAGGGACGAGTAGCGATGCTTATGGGGTTTGGGTACATACCCACTTTGTTGTGCTCTGTGAAACGGTCAATCTCGGAAATGATGGTGTGGTCAACAAAGTCTAGACTTCTATGATAGATAGTAAAATCTGGATTTGTGAGCTTCATGACAGAAGTTGGATCCTGTCGATCTTTGTTTTCAAATCCGTCAACAAAACAGGAATGAGCGCAGGATCTCAGACATCTTAACGAACGTGACTTCTAACCTCAGTGATTTGATACCTCTTTCCGAGTGACGAAAACGGCGAAAATAGTAAAACCGGAAAAGACGAACAACGCAAAAAAGTGATAATGGGCAAAATTTGACAGGCTTCACTTCCTTTGACACTCATAGCTTGACTACAAAGACGGTATACACACTTACGAACCATTTTTTTTCAGTCAACGCTAATGAATCTTTGTAGTCAAGACAAAACTAAATTCCCGTATTCTGCTATTTTTTCCTTACGATTCCCGAATCCAATCCCCATAAAAATAGGAAATCCCGCTCCCACTGGTTGTTGAAATTCCCGCATCCCGCTTCTGTTTTCAGCTCATATCCCGAATATCACCACGAAAAATAGCCAAATCCCGCATCCCGCCAAACCTATTGTGGATCCTCTTTGATGCAGACCCCTGACATAGACTAAATCAGAGGCGAGGATCGGATGCCATTTTCGGTTCCAAAAATGATTGATGAAGAATTGACACTGCGATCTCAATTATTATTTCGATTTATAGTCAACAATAACTGATCGACAGGAAGTCTTTAGTATAGACTCTGGTAAATTATTGTTGCAATCACAAGACAACGCACGTCTCGCATTGCAAAAGCAAGAGAAGTCTTCCGCAGGTAATCCCCTTTGTCGGAACACTGTCACTTCCGGAGGATAAATGAGACAAGAGAGATACCCTCAGTTACAGCCCTTCTGAGCATTTGTTGAAGGAAGGGCATCATGAATAGTTAGTCAACCGCAGTTAGAATTAATTCGAATGTTAACATTTTAGATTGACGAAATTTCCATCATTAATATTAACCTTCTACTGGGTATGCTGTGCCTCTGAGATCACATGATAAAAGTGTCTTAAAGTGGAGAGGTATGTTAACATCTTTTTTAAACTACGTTATCATCGAATTAAGTTTATTAGAAAAGAAAACTTTACATGAATAACAACAACAACATCTTTATTTATAATCACAATTTAACTAATAAATAAGGACTACTTCCAATATAGCGAAGCTACTCGAGGCAGGTAGTATAAGAAACGTGTCAATTACATATTAATATAATATAATATTATTCTAATAACAAAAAATAAATAACAATTACAAAGGTACAGATGTCAATTACAAAAGTGAATGCAAAAATATAGATATACTAATTATGAAGCCACGAGCACATAATTAAAAACAGGAAAAGCTCAAAATACTCTTTATTTTAACGAAATCTAGTTTCTTGTCATTTCGTTTATTAATGTATCAATATCAGGATAAGAATCCTGGTTTAGAATGATTTGAAGTAAGGATTCGGTTATTTTTCCTTGGAACTATAATTATTTAGGGAGCTGTCTCAAAACATCAGGAATACAGTTCCAAATTTTGCGCCCATGAAGGAAAAAGAATTCTTATAGTTATTTCGTATTACAGCCAGAATATAGTTATTTCTCACCGTCTGCTTAATCTGTTTCATCTCACCAGGATTATTTACAAAGGATTGCATCACCAAAGCACTTATTACCTACGATTCGTTAGCCAATAACATTTCTGCTCAGCGATCTTCGGTTACCAAGCCCTCCCAGGGAATAATAGGAAGAAATTTAATTCAGAGAAAGGAGTTAGGGCAAACGTTTGATTATTACATAGCGTAAATTTGGGCACTCACCGAATCCTGAATGGTTGACACTTGTGCTTGGACGTCTGAAAGAAGGCTGGTTCCTCGAGACCAGGTCGAAGTGCTGTTGTCGCTGCTTCTGAAGGCCGAGAAGCGGACATGGATTGCAAATATATCTCCAGTGAACTCGTCCGAACATGACGACAACCAACCCGATGCAGGGGACGGCCAAAATCGGAATTGTTCTTTTGTGGATACAGGATCGCTTTTGCTGAGGTAAGCTATCCTAGTCAATGGATTCAAAATGATTTATTTTCGACTTGCAGAGCCATAGTTGCTTCCGTTTTTACTGCTTGAATGTAAAGGATACTTAACATAACTTCAATTTAACCCTAGCTAGTTCACATTTTTCCTTGCGTATGGAATGTGGTGTGCTTTTTTCACCGTGGATGTGAAAACAAAATCTTTGAACGGCAGCTCTTGTCTGTAACCTTAATGTCAATAGATTTCTAGGATTGTGTAAAAACATGATTTTTGCTTGCCTTCTCGACAAGGGATGTCTGTGTTAGCCGGAAGTACTCTTGCTTAGCTTACAGTTTTCACAAACCAATCTACCTCGTTCTTGCTTCATCAAACGGTCTCAAATTGAGTGCAGCTAGGTAATAAATGTGTAAAGCTTGGGTATTTGCAATCAGCCAAAGGATTGGTAACGCTTAATGAATCTGTTCCTCGTAAAACGTCCAGCTAGTCATTGACATGGACTCTCTTCTTTGTTTTTTCATTTAAATTTCCTCTTTTTATGACGAAGGGCTAACGCTCGAAAAGTCAGCTTTATAAATCTTTACATTGGCCAATTTACATTATCAACTCAATTGATGACACGGATATTCCCTTGTCTTACTCTCCACTGATGCAACACCACAGTTTCTACAGAAACTTACTTCCTTTCTACATAACAGTTGCATTCAGAACTAACCACTTATTAATCAAGCATAGGGGCCCTACTGGGTATTATTGACTGTGGTTTAGGGAATAATACAGACAGCACTGCACTTAGTACAATTGAACCTCGATTTAACAAAGTGCCAAGGGACTGGGGAAATTGGTTCGTTATAGCAAAGGTTGGTCATATCAAGGTTCGAATTCTATGGCGTACATTTAACTGTAGCTTTAGCCGAGCTGAAACTTAAGTATTCACCCTTATACCGAGGTTCCACTGTATTGTACAAAAATGAGTGAAGACCATCAATTATTTCCTTGTACAACTGTAAAGTTTGAGCAGACTAACTTATTGTCATGAGCACTTTACCAGAGGGTAATGCAGGCCATGCTTTTTTTTTTTTTTTTTTTTTTTTCACTTACAATGCTTTATAAGTCACTTGATTTCATATGGTATCTATTGTGATGTGTTTCTGATGTCTTGCAAGCAACTGAGATAGAACACACTTACTGGTGGCTTGAAGCAAATTATTTTATTGAACATGCAGTGAAATTTGTTGAATATAATTTGTGATGAAATCTGACCATAGTTACATCAGCTGGAGATTTTATGTCAAAATTCATGGAAAGGTTTTTCTCATTGGGAAGTGTTTTTGATGGTTTAGCTTGAATGCAGGATGGCTTTTAGTAGTTCTTCCATTTGTCATACCATAAAGCTTCCTTTAAGAAGAGAAGTTTTCTCTTTCCTTTACATTGTACAGGCAAGTTTGACTGTTTGATGTATATGTGAAATGCTTTTACTGGTAACTGGGTTTTTAAGCCTTCATTGAAAAAATACACTGCCTCGATTTGCTTCACAATTTCTACCTGACACTTAGTTGTTATTCCACCTTTAGGAAGTAAAATTATTCTAAGAGGGAACATAAAGACATAATCAAAATATTTAATGAACAGTTTCTATATTGAGTTTTCAGAGGTTTTTTATATATTTTAATAATGTTCTAGCTTTGCAATCAACTGTTTCTCCAAATTTCTCTTTTTTGTTAGTTTATAAAATTATCAATGACCTCCTGGCCTCCTGCAAACATGTGTGTGCGTGTACCTGTTCCACCGTCTACTTCTAAGAATTTAAGAATAAGAGTCCTACAGATTTTGCCTAGTGAATATTTGTCTTCATCATAGTAAATTTTGTAAAATATCAATCTATGTGGTAGTTTCTATGCTAAAATTGAGAATATTTACACCTTTCTCTTTTCTACTCTGTCTGCAATTTTTAAGAAAGTGTACATGAAAAAAGCCATATTTTGGCTAATGTTTGAGAGAACATTTCAAACGTTTTTGTAGTGCTCAGATCATACTATTTCTTTCTTATCTCACTGCAAGTGCAAGTCATTTACTCAGAGGCAAATTTCAAGATATGGCTGTCATCTATGGTTATGAAGCTTTCAGAAATGAATATTGTGGGTCAATTATTTTGATTACTTTGCACAAAATTGCCTCTTCTAAAAGCTGTCAATCCACCATTATGACAACTCCATTGCTCAAATATTATTTTTTACAGTGTAAAATGTTTTGCCAACTTTATTACTAGTGATAATCATGAATTAGAACTGTGTTGGATCAAGGTTAGGAATGGATATTTTTGTCTTAGCCTTACAAAATCCAGACAAATGTGTAATATTAAACCTATGAACATGGCATCTAGATCAGAGCAAGCCAACCTGTTGCACTTCACTTAGGCAGAAGGATTCGGAGCTCTCTCATGAAATGGGGGCCACAGGAGTCAGGGACCAAAAAATAACATGTTGAATAGTGTGCTTTCCCCTGCATTAAATGTAACAATTCAAAATTTAACATCTCTCATTAGAACTTTTTTTCTAATGACCTCTGAACATTCTTGATTAAACCCAGATGACCTTGTTTGAACACTACATGCTCAAGATTTTCAAGGATGTTCTGATAACTTTGGCAGGTTGCTGCAGTGTATTAATGTACAGTGTGTACATATCACTAAATCCTAATGACATGTGTGTTTAAGAGAAAGTCCTTGTTCGGTGTGTTATGGCTTTGAACTACTCACATACTTGCATTAGACCTGTTGTTGTTTTATTTCTAATATACAGGCATGGACAGTGCATCAAGAGAATTCATAAGGAATTTTATGATCTTGAGTAAGTACTTTTGTTGCATTTATTTGATATGATTGTGATGAAAGAATTTAGTTACATTTAGCTGTAGTCATACAGGTATTAAAAATGTGAAGTTAAAACTTGAAATCAGTTCTTCATCTTTTAGTCCAAGGCACTACTGTGTTAAAGTCACAGCTGAGATCACAAATCCAGATAGTTCTTCCTCTCAGATGCAAGTGGTAAGCTATTTGTTCATCAGTATATATTTTAAGACTGAAATTACACGCAATTGAGTTGAATGTAGCTCAACTCCTATTGGCTTTTGCAGGTTACCTCTGGTACATTTGTTCTAAATTCAAGCATTCCATTTTTATTCAGCCCTGTAAGTTGTGACTGTTTGGGTCACCATGCCATCTTCGGCCTTCAAATTTGTTGCAAAACTTGCCAATTTGGCAAACTGTGGTTTCTGGCTATAAAATTTTTATTGCTCAGTGTTTTATAGTCTAAATGTTATATACATGCACAAGATGTCCTTTTCCAAGGGTCTTTTTTATTTTGAAGGATTAATATGTAGCAAAATTGTTGTTTTGTGTTGGTGAGAAAAACATCATATAGAGTTATGTAACTTTGTTAAGACATGTACAGTAATATTTTGGCATTTAACTTTGAGTTTCTGCAAGTTTTATACAAAGAAACTAATTTGTGCTTAGCTCTTATTTATTTAATCACTTTCACCAGAGTGTGGTGAGGGTCGCACAACAGAGCGAGGCTCCAAATTAAGTGCGCCCTATATCCCACCCATCCCACCCCAGGGGAGGACATCCATCACACAGTAATCTCGTGTGTGGGAAATTAACGTCTCCTACCCCAACCCTGCAGGAGACGGGACCTCCATTTATTCGTCCCTATCCGAGAAGACTAGAATATCTAACCATTTCTTGATGTTATAGAAAGGTAGCAAATTCTTCTCAATTATTTTAAGACCCTGAGTGTTGGTCCGGCCGGGGCTCGAACCCTCGACCTCCCGCACAACAGTCCAGCGCTCTATCCATTGAGCTAACCGGGAGGCGGTTTTAGATCATCAAGTGGCTACTTTGGAAGTGGTTACACTGAGAACCATTGTTATTTTTTTTTGTTATTATTTTTTTTCATGAAATAACAATAATTAGTATGATTGATTTCAAAAAAATATATTTTGCAGGTGTCTGGTGATGATGTTAACAGGTCTGGGCAAGGAATAAGTTCAAGTAATGTTCCATTTTATAGATATGCATTTTAACCAAGCTTGAGGTCAAGATGGCTTGATATTGGCCAAGTTCTTTGTTTGCATTCTGGACCAAGACGAAGTCCATAAAAACGAAAAAAAGAACAAGGCTAATATCCAGTCATCATGATTGAACAGTCTTGGTGAAAAAGGATTTATTATAAGGCAAAAAAATGGTTTCCCTATAATAAGAATCAAGAACGACTTTTTCATTTTGAAAGCTGTGAAAGAAAGCTAACTGTGTTTGTAGCACAATAATCCCAAGAGGGTCTTCAATTTTTTGTTTGTTACCCCATCGTCCAAAAGCTATAAACTCTGTAAGTTCATTCCATGCACTTTTTTTTTCTTGCATGGGATCAAAATGGCAATCCCAAGCAGGCAAGATTCAGGCCATCAGAAAACCAGATTTACTTCATCTTGCCAATGCATTTACAATAATTTAATATGCATTATTAACCAAGCATGAAGTCAAGATGGCTGGATATTGGCTGAGTTCTTTTTTCACATTTTTATGGACAGAGACAAAGTCAAGGTCCTTAAAAATGTAAAAATAAGAATGAGTTTAATATCCAGTCATCTTGAGCGAACAAGGTTGGTTAAATGAGGATTTATTATTTTGGAAAAAAAAATTTAGGTTTATCAACAGGGACTTGTTTAATTCAAGAGCTGGGAAAGAAAGCCCACTGTGTTTGTATGACAACAAACTCACAAGAGTTGTTTCTGTTTGTTCGGTTTGACTATCTTCTGCCACTTTTTGCTTCTGCATCACCAAAATTGACCAAGAATTACAAATTTAGTTCTAATTATATTTTTTCAAGCACGAGGTCAATGCAGGTAATCCCGAGGAGGGGGGAGGTGGGGGGGCGGCGGGCAAGATGGGCTCATCTTGCCAGCTTGGGTAGCCAATCAGAACACAGGATTTGCTTCATCTTGCCCATGGGCACTAGCTGTGAGCAATGTAATGAATGTTATTACTAACAGTATATACCTCTTTGTAAGTACGTGCAATATGATTGGGCTGCATGAAATTACAATCATTAGTCTTCAACAATTTCTGTTTACTTTTATAGGTGCATCTAGTGTTTCTCAAGATTCAGTTGTTGTACCACTGACTACAAGGGTAAATTTCATGTTGTACTTTCATTTCTTCTTGAAAGTAATTAATGTACATGGACCCCTTGTGTAGAAACCAGTGCCCTCTCCATTGAATCACCTAAGTACTATGTAATTTTTTTTCAGCATGTGTACGTAAAATACATTTTGAGCTAGAGATTTGCTGGCCCTAGTAGTAGGCCTGTAAGATCTTAATGCAGGTCAGAGATAATGCACCCAGGCAGAGTCACTGTTGTGTTCTTTTGTGAGACACTTGTATTATTTAATTCTCACAGTACCCAACCCTTTCATGTGATTTTTTTTTTTTAAACAGAGATGTTCCCTTCCATTCTTTTCAGTAAGAAATTCCTCAACACAATCTCTTACTTAAATTGTATAAACTGATGTTATTGGTATTTTCTCTTTTTTTAAACAGACTCCTCAATTTGAACTGTACAAAAATGCTGTACTGTGTGCTCAGTATCCAGTCCTTGGTGCATCCCAAGCAGCTGCTTCCCCATATTCACCTGCATCATCACCATTTGAACCTCCATTGCAATCTAAATGGTAAGAATCTTTCTAAGAACTTGTTCCTTTAAGGTAGAACCTATCATGTTTGTTCAGTAGAGATAATTGCTTACAGTAAGAGTGAAGCTAAACAAATACATGTCCTTTACCTAAAGTTATGATTGTGAAGGGGAACTTTTTAAATGGCCCTTCTCTTGACTTGTTCATAGTAATTGGTGCCTTAAGTACAATATACATATGTACACTGTACATTTTTGCACATGAAAATCTAAATTAGAAATGGAGGGCAGTGAACTGTAACACCAATGGAAAGCAATTGTAATAAAAGTGCTTTGGAGCTGGGATATTAGAATTGAAAGGGAAATGTTGCATGCTCTACTAGTGATCATCCACTCTTGATATAATATGATTTGTACTGTAAATGTATGAGTAAATAATAAGTACAAATAGTCAACATGCTCATGTTCATCTGCTGCTTGTTATGTTTTCTTGGGGAAAGTGCTTTGCACTCAACTCATGCACATACAGACATCAACTGCTAGTTTTTAATTCATGTTTTCATACTGCCAATTGTGATCTTCAGGTTAGCCACGGGTGGTGCTGAGTCACAGAGTTGCAGGCGTCATGAATCATCAGAATCTGACAATGGACATGTTTCACCTGAAGTTTCTATTTCAACCTTGTCAGAGGAGTTGCAGGAGTTGGTTCGGAATGTCTTTGAACTTAAAAGGCGTCAACACAAATTTTATTGTGAGACTGAGATACCAACGCAAGTTCCTCGGTCCAAGGAGGCACCAAGGGTATGATCATTGAAGACATTTATTTTCAAAACTTTTATTGAAAAATGGGTTCATGGGTACTGACAAACTGTAAGAGAAGTGGGGTTACATGTGTACAGCATCCCATTCAGGGAGGGGGGGACTGGCAATAATCCACACAACTTTATGCAACAAATACAGCAATGAGCTCAGGGACTAGATGAGCTATGCAGCTTGGTTGCTGAATTAATTTTACCTTACATTTACCTTATCTGGAGATTTGTCAAACAACAACACCATCCTTTGGCTGCTAACTGTAGTTCCTCTTTCCTTATTTCCATGTTGATGCAACGATGATGTATCATATGATGTGTATCGGATGTTATAGGTTAATCACTTGTGGGTATAAAAAGTTATGAAGGGTCTCTTTCTTCTTAGATTTATCTGTACATGTACATCTTATTTCCATTTTTTTTTTACAGCATTTCATGGTCAGCAGTATGGTTGCTGTGAAAAATACAGCTATCTTATAGTACAGATTTTTTTCTTACATAATGTTTTAGAAAATGCTGTTTATGAGGTTTAGATTTCATAACTTTCAACATGTATATACATTGTAGATACTCTTTCCGTTAAAATTTTGCAGTATTGCTCATGATTAGGAAGTAATTGTTATTGTTTTTGTATATTTAGTTTCTTGTAGAGGAGTTACTGAGTCAGCAAGTTGTATTAGAGCACAACCGCCACCCCTTTTACAGAGTTCAGACTTTCATGGACAACAATATTTATGATGAATGGTTAATAGATGTTAAAAGAAGGATAGATAGCTTGATCAAGGGCTTCTGGCAGTACTCACGTCCTCTTGTGCCTGAGTTACCCTTGGAAAGTCCAAAATATCATGAACAGTACGTGGAGCTGATGAACAGACTTTTCAGGTTTAAACAAAATTTTTTTCTTATGATAATGATGATGATGGACATCTCTATTGGCAGAAACAAAACCCGCAAAGTAAACTCAATATCCCATCTCAACAAACTTTAGGAAAAATTGAAAGAAAGCTTGGAGAAGTTAAATTAAAAATTATGAAATTACTGCGTGAAGAAAAAATACAATCCATGTCAGGATCTGTTCCAGCTTTGAATCTGTGTGGTTAGGAAGATGGAGTAAGATTTCTAGATCAATTACAGAGAAAAGAATTGTAAATATGATCACTTTTGATGCTCAATGGCAAATTTTACCTGAGCTATATTCTGGAGGTGCACTAAAGTACTGGGCAAACTTGTTGATTGCTTTCAATGTATAAGTTACTTTTTTCTTGTGTAGAACACAGATCTTTTGTGAATTTGACACAAATGACTAATAAGTAAATGGCTCCCAACAATTTGTGTCAGTGATAGAATACCTGAATTTCTTTTTTGGTCTATAGGTATGAAAGTAAACCAAAGGAGCTACACCCAGTTTATCATGGAGCAGTTCCAATTAGACCTCTATCCTCCCTATCTTGCCAACTGTTGAAAGAATTTTCCCTAAGATATGGAGTAGGAGTGCTTTTCTGCAAGCTTTCATATCTGGAATACTTTGTAAAGTAAGTCTTTCGTAAGGGAAGGTACATGTGTTGTAGGTAAAAGGGTTCTGTTCTTCATAATTACCTATTTTTAAATAATGTCTTTAGAGAGTTTGAAAAGCATTCTGAAACTCAATAGTCCTTTTTACAGTTGTGGGCTTGGTGGCCAAGCCTTTGAACAGGAGTGAGGCTTGGGGTGACCTTGTTTTGAGAGAGATGTTGCTGCTTTTCAAATGCAAATTACTTTGTTACCATGCTAACTAGATACAGGTCTCTATCACAACAGGGTCACCCTTAGCCTCACTCCTGTTCAAAGGCTTGGCCATCAAGCCCACAACTGTAAAAGGGACTATTCTACTTTTTTTTGTTTTTCATTTCTTCGGTTCTAAGATAAAATGATTTTACAGTACAGTGTACATTTTCAAGAGTTTTGGCAACTTTTTCTGTGAGTGGCTGCCAATGGTGCAGTAGTGGGCTGGGGCAGGAAGAGTGGCAGTTTGGTAAACCTTAAAATAACCCCTAAGAATGACTGACATTCTAATTTCTCCTTACAATATCACCCCTAAATCAAACATTAAGGTCAGGAGAATAAAGCAAATGATCACCAATTAAAGAAACTCTTGATTGCCAAACAAATTCTCCTTCTCTGCACCTTAAGAAACATTGAAAATTGTATGGAGAAGATGCATTTTGATGTTAGTAGACACCTGGTAACCAGTTTTTATTAAAACCTTTACATATGGTAACATTTTATGTTACTTTGCAGACAGGTGACATTTTCAAAATATTAAGGCAAACCAGCTTGTTTTTATTTAATATTGTAATACCTTGTTTGTTTGTTGTTTATATCACTAGGTACTTTGAAAGCAACATCTGGTATATTGAACACATCACTGAGTCTTTACGGGATGTGATGAATCTTATTTTAAGTGGTTGTCAGGAAATTTTTGTTGAGGAAGAAGTAAGTTTTGACCATTGTTTTGTCCAGCTTGCCTGATGTACATGCAGCTGCCTTTGTTCAAACGTTCTAGTATGCATGAAACCTTTTCACTCCCAGAAGTGACAAAGAGATAATTTCTCCTTAGCATAATTATCAGTACACTATAAAGCAGATAAAAGATGAGAATGTAAAGAAAAATATTGTCAAAGGGATTTCGTTCGACTCGACACTAAATTTTCAGAACTAGAATTATGAGAAATGCTTGACAGGCAGTGAGGAGATTTATATTCGATATCTTGGGAGTCACAGAGATCTTGGGAGGCACATACATGACAGATGAGTCACTTGGGGGTCAGTTGTTGGAATGTTGTTACAGACATGTCCATGGATTAAATGTTCGGTGTCATTGCGTGTTCAGAAGCCCTACTCTGGGGCCTTAAGTTGCCTTAACTGTGGGCGATTTAAGGCGACTTAAGCAAATTGGTAGAAAAAGCATTGCGACTTTAGGCGATTTAAGGCGAGTTAAAGCGATTTTATTCTACTGAAGTGATAAAATCAAAGTTAGCAATAGTCTCTCCATAAAATTTAAAAATATCTACAGAATCCCTTGCAATAAACACAATATGATTAGAGTGGGGTGAATGGGGTCAATTGGGAAGGGTGGAACCCTTATAGCATTGCGTAACCAATAGTGACTGAAGGCGACTGAAGGCGACTGAAGGCGACTGAAGGCGACTGAAGGCGACTTAAGGCGACTGAAGGCAACTTAAGGTCCCTTTCAGAAGTCTAACATGCCACCTCTTCAGGCTACGATTCATTGATGTACCTGCTTGTAAATATTGAAAATACTGGAATTTTTGTTCTTTCGACTGCAACCCTTTTGTAACAAAAATTTGGAATTAATAATTATTTATGGTTTCAACTGCTACAACTGTGCCCCTATTTGTAGTTTTTAAGGTGATAAGTTTACGTTCGTAGCATTCTTTCATCAACATTTGCAATGCTTTGGAACAGTCCTTGCTTATCAGTCAATTCCGTCGCGCAAGTAGTAAAAAAAAAAAATAACAGCAGAGAAAAAGAAAATGATGGTAGCAGGCCACCCAGAACTCTGGGGGAGAGGCACACGAAAAATGCTCCCAGAGTCCCTCGTAGCGCGCACAGATTCACAGATTTTTTTTCGTAACTTGCGCGACGGACTTCGCCGAAAATGAGGGAATGCTGGTAGGCTATGAAGGCACGGGTGGCACATTTAAATTACTGAAGAAAATAATCGTAAAATAAACGAAGCGCTTCTTAACCTTAAAAGGGTGTGAATCGTCTTTACTGTTTCGTTCGTTGAATATGTTACCATCTTATTTTTCAGTTTAAAATGCTGCTGGATATTTTGTTAAATCTGCTAAATCAGACTAAGTACTCCTTGAGTAAAATTAGGAGGATTTTTCCTGCTGAGAACAACCCTAACGAAGGTGTTAAAGCATTGGTCACTCTGTTTGAACTGACTCTGGAATCTGCAAGACAACTAGAATCAGAATTTCCATCAGTTTTCACAAGACTTCCACAGGCTCAACAATTCGCCGACCATTTGTCGGAGGCTCCAGCCTGCGTTCTTGTGGCTTCCTTTGTCGAGGTACAAAATTACTTTCATAGAGTAACGGTTTCATTCTTTTTGATCGCCCCAGTTTTTTGTTAATGATAATTTGGTTTATTAAATCGGCAGAACGCTTGAACATTATTTGGGACGATCGGAGCGCCCCAGACATCGTATGGAGGCCTCTAGCATCAGTTAGTCATTTTTTAAAACTTAGCGTGTTTTGTAGTAGGTTTTCAAAATCTTTGCGAAACATAATGTGAAAAAAATCCACCTCCATTTGCTCTGTCAAGAGAAGAGGCTGCAGTTATTTAAATGTGTATCTCGAAGAGGGAGGAGAATTGATTCAGAATTACGGACGCTCTGGCGAAGGGCTAACGCTCGAAACGTCAGCTATCAACTCAACTGATAAAACCAGAATTAACTAATTCAGAACTAGATTGGTTTTGCTTTACTTCGCTTTTTCTTTGCCCCAGAAAACTCACTCCCCTTTCAACCAATCAGATGCGAAACTGCAACCAACCGCGGCTTAGTCATCAGTGACGTTTTCCCACTCTTTAAAAGCAGTTTGCTTGGATTTAATAAGAGTTCTTATTGGCTCATTGAAAATGCTTTTATTAGCTTTGGTTACACGGAACTCGATCAAAAAGTAATCTAAATATTTTTATGATCATTTTCCTATGGGTAGACGTTTCGCGATATCATTAGATGTATTATATAAGCGTACAACGAAAAAAGTTGTAAAAGGTGCCAACCTCAATACTTTGTGGATCAATGTCAGTCTCTGAGTAGCTGTGAACTTACCCCTCCCCCTAACCAAACATCAATCCTAACTTGTTATCAGTTCACTGTTGTTGCGGTAGGGGAGGGGTAGCAGCGCAGTTTCTCAGATACCGACATTGATCCGACTTTATCCCTCACGTTAAAAGATGACAGCTGCCATTCTATGGTGACGTTTGAAGGAAATATTTGTCGCTGATGTTTCCTTTCATTTTTTTTATTTTCCTAAGAATGAGATTGAGGGTCGATATGAACGTCTCAAAGAAAACGCCACTGCAGCTTTGGGTCAGAACTACTCGATGTCAAAGCTTCTGCTTAAGTCTATCCTGGAACTTCACCATGAAGTCAGTTATTACAACGCACAATACAAGCAGGCGTTCTCTGGGTTAGTCATTTTCATTTCATACCACTTTACAGCCTTTTTGTGGCCATGTTTTTTTCGTTTCGTTTTTTTTCTATTCTCAAACCCGTTGCCAGGGTCTTCTCTCTTCCTTCCTCGAAGACCCCCNCTTCACAGGCACGTGACCAGCCCCAGCCATGGTACTTTTTCGAGGAAGGAAGAGAAAGGAACCTGGGAACGAGGTTGCTCAGTTTTGTGTCTCTCTCTCACGTCCTTACCAGGTCGTAAGTGACTTGTGTAATTTGTGTTACAGGTATTTTGACATCATGAAACTCTCTGCGTGTAAATTCTATTCCTTGCTGATGTCAGATGTGAAACAACTGTGCGAAAATCCACCTCGAAACCAACGTCCTAATGAGGTGGATTGTTTCATGTTGTGTTTGGCATTTCGCTTATCAAAACTCGATAAAGAATGGGCCGAGTACATTCCTCACCAGTAAGTTCACATATGTATGTTACCTGCGAACGGTGATGATATCATGGCTATGTAACGAGATTTCTGTGTCAATTCCCAAGGTGAATAAGAATGAAATTAGTACACTTTTTCATAATACGCATTTGCAAGGAGGAGCAAGTTCTAAGTTCTTTCTGGTGTGGCCTTTAGAGCTGTCTGGGATCATTTCGCTTTGTTCAGGGGAAAGACATCGGCAAGAACTGATAAAGCTCTTTTATCAGTGGATAACAAGAACTTTCTGATTAAAGAGGCGGAACCAAATGGTGGAGGTGGGGGAGAGGGTAACTTTGATGGGCGAGCGACCCATTTAGGAGAGTCCGTTAGGTAGTTTATTTAGCTGTTACTCGAAGTTAGCTGATTAAAAAAATAAACATCTCCGTATTACATTCTAGTAATCAAAAATGGCGCCAGCCTTTTCTGGGGTTTGCACTACAATGGCTGGATGCTACTGGCCATTTACTCCAAAGGCGTGTTCTTCAGCTTATTAGCAGTGATTTATGGGAGCCAGTGGCTGTCATTATCGATAGATCACAAGAACAGAGGCACAAGAGGAAGACACCTCCTGCTCCTCGGTCTGGCTCTGTTCGGTCCTTGACACCTTCTAGTCATTCTGCTTTCATAGCCGTGGAACCTGGTGGATCTCCTGCTAAGGTACAGCATTTCTAACTCACAAGTTTGTGCATTTCATCTGTAAGTAAAGGTTAAAGAAAAATTTATACAAAAGCAAACCTTGTTTTGTAGTGACTCACTTCACAAGCTTTACTTTTACTAGTTTATCAGGTTCGACGGCTAGGAATAGATTAACTGATTACAAGTACTTTTAAGTTGAGAGGAAATTGAATGTTTTATCGTATTATAGTTTCTTATTTGGTTTGAAATGTGTCTTAGTATAATCATAAGTTGGCTAGATACTATTTTGTTAAGTGCACGTGTATAAATAAAGATTCTACTACTACTACTACTACTACTACTACTACTACTACTTCTACTTCTACTACTACTACTTCTACTTCTACTTCTACTTCTACTTCTACTTCTACTTCTACTACTACTACTACTACTTATGAGAGACCTTATGCTCGCTAACCTAGGACTAACGTCTCCAAGGGGATTGTTGACTGGACCTTATAAGAAAGCTAACTTGCTTGAACATCTGATCGACAAAAGTATACTGCTAGCTCAACTGATAGCTTTATGAACCATTTTTCGTTTTTTGATTGTAGTCCTCTGCCGCGAAAGAAAAAGTCAAGAGTGGTAAAGGGAAAGAGCCACTTCCGTCAAGAGAGAAGAGTCAAAAACGCACCCAGCGTGTTGGATACGACAGTAGTTCTGAGGAAGATGGCGGAAAGACATTGAAAATACGAGCCCAAGTGAATTTTGCGCGAGCAAACGGTGCTTCCAGTGTGAAGAAGAGACTATTAGAGCCTCAAACCTGCAGTCAAGTAGAGGCAACTGGTAGAGAAATATCGCCCGCATTAAGTAATCCAGTAGCACAACCGCTGTCAGGTCTGGATGAAACTGGGAGGCCAGGAAAAGACCGTGTGCATCAAGGTACCACGCAAGGTGAAGGTAAACCTGCACAGTCCTCTGAGGGCGGAGATAGTTCTCTTCTAATCACTGCTCAAGAACGCCAAGAGAGCACCATTGAAGTTCACAGTCCAAACAAAGGAACAAAACCAATGGGTGAAAAATCTGGTTGCTCCTCAGCTGATCAGTCAGACGTGACGAACAGTCACATAAATTGTGAAACTGTTCAACCAGTACCAAGCGTGAGAAATAACGACGGAAAAAGTTCTACATCACCATCCTATACGTCTGCCTCATCTGGGAGACAGGATGTTTCAAACGGAAATGTGGACGGGGTTTTTCATGAACCAGCTTCACCTTCAGATGGTTCATTCCTTTCCAAAGTTTCCCACTCGAGGAATCGAAATACTCCTTTTGAGAATGACTCTAGTGATGAATCAGACAGTGGGGACTCCATTCACACGTCTGATTCGTTTGACTTCATCGAGGATAGAGGGAAGGCAAAGGTTAACAAAAAGCGTAAAACAAAAACTGTTCAGCCGGTTGTAGACCCGGTTAAAAGTGGAACAGGACGAATGGACTATAATTCGAGCAAAGACTGCCAAACCTGCCCTGCAAGACACAACTGTTTTGATTCAGACGACAAGAGAAGTTCAGAAGTACGCAGACCTAGTGCAGATAAAAGTAAGAAAAGTGCATGTATTCCAGTGCCACGAAACAAACGCATTGATAAACTACGTACATCAGGTGCTTCTAATCTCTCAGAATGTGGCAGTTTTCAAAGTGCCTCTGGGTCCGTCTTCTCAAGGAGTACTGAGGGCAGTTACCACTCTGCTCGTTCTAGTCCCACCCCCTCGCAGCAAGATCAGTCAGCGACCCAAAATGACAGCGATCATCACTTAGATACGAGTCATTCTCGAGACAACACGGCCAAGATGTTTCCAATTTCGAGCTCGTTTGTGGATGTAGTTGGCGCTGTAAACCGTTTGGCTGCATTTGCATGTCACCTTTGCGAGATCCTTTGCACAGACGAAGGTCCTCAGAGGAGTGATCATGCTGCTGCTACAGCAGCTGCGTGTTCTACTGCAGGAGATGACGATTTGGAACCCGTATCACTGGCGATTAAGAGAGCACTCCACCACAGACTAGTTCAGGTACAGTGTACATGTACCACACGATAACTCTATGGATACTCGTGAACCACTTCGAAAATGTTAGGTTTTTCCGATTTAGGAAGGGCAGAATTCAGCAAATGTGCGAATTTGACGAGAATCTGTTGCAAATTTGGGAAATATGAGCCACCAAACTTGGAAATTGTCAAAAAGAATTACATGCCAGTGGGCAGTATCTGGCTTTCTGGTTATAGGGAAAATACGCAACATTGTCTATCTTTCGTGCATCCTGGAAGTGCGTTGTTCTCCCTGTATTACTCCGAATCGTAGTATTTAATTGCGTATTCAGTGTATATATGGAGGAGGCAGTTGAAAAAGCCACATTCGGTATCTATTATAACCTCATATAACTGGATCTAGAGTGAATGATATGGCGATTTTCATAAAATCTCAGAGTTAAAAGTGATTTCCATAAAATAACCAACCAACCCTAACCTTAACCCGAAGCCGTTAAATTTATTTCTTAAGCTGTCGTATTAATCGACCAAAGAAATTAGGATACACACCTTGCGTTTTTGTTTAACTTGGTTCGACATACTTTTACATGATTTAAGCAAGGTTCCCGTCCCTCAGGTTAATTGGAACAATTATCGTCCTTTTTTTCACTCTTGTGTTAAATATTCCTGTACTGTTGCCTCTTTAACCTCGACAAAGTGATGTTTTAAAGATGATTGTTTTCTATTAATTTAATTGTGTCTTAAAATCACTCTATTGTTATTAAAACCAAATTGACAACAGAGTTTTCTCAGCCTGAACATGTGTCCGAGCTATATAGGCCCTGTTTGATCTGCAACGAGTTGATGCCGATCAAACATGGCTCATGCGTATGTTATCTATTCCACACATATCTACTGTTTTAACAGCTACTTTATTTCATTCTTTAACAGGTGATGTTGTCGTTTGTGAAGTTGTACTCGGACAACGTCCTGGGTATGGACACTTGTGGGTTAACAGATGAACTTCTAACTGAGTTATTAGGAGAACGCGTTCAGAGGCATCTCAGAACACAGAGGGATGAAAGGAAGATACAGGGATGCCGTTACAATCCCTTGGCTGGCCAAAGCTGTAACACAACGGATTTGAGGGGTAAGTCTTTGGTGTGAAGTGATAATTTGAGAATTTTTAATCAAGTGTCGAAGGTGTAGGGTACGACTCAACTGGATACAATGTTGAGTGATAAGTGATGAAGGGACGAGTAGAAGGAAGGTTTTCACTGGTGATAATTATTCTAACAATTTCTACCCCTAACCCATCTCCGCTCTAATTCATGAATTCTCACCGGCTGAAAATTTTCCTTAGCAAGATTGGCTTTGCAACCCTCGTGGGGCATATTGCAATTTAAAAAGGCCCAAATTATTGATTGGTGATTAATTGGTTGCGTTTATTGATTTATGTTTTTCGTGTCTTTTACTTGGTGTAGGTACGCGCATACCACCATGCGAGGGAATGTCCGGAATGGAGCTGAATCCTGGTGGATTTGAACCACTCACGAAACAGGTCAGTTTGTGAGAATTTATTACAGAGGACCCTTCCTTTATGGAGCACGCCTGGCACTGGAGAAATTGTCCCTTGATTGAAGCTTTCTGATGCATTTATTGTAGGAAAATTTTGTTTTTACTTGTGGAAGCAAGTTTTCGTTCCTCAAATATTCAGTAATGCTTCCTGGATAGGGGTGTCCCAAAAGCTGCCGAGCGTTCACCCAAGTGGTTTATCAATTGCTTAATTTGACCCTTTTTTCGTTGCTACTTCCTTCAAACATTCTTTCTTCTCTCCGAAGCCATTAAGTTGTAATCCAAGTTTTGGGTAACTTCGGTGGTTTACTGAGGCTAATGGCCGCTCTCCTTTTCTCCTCCTTGTTCCATTTTGTAGAGATTTTAATCTGCAATACTGAAGCGAGTACAGAAGCAAAATAAGTTACCTTTTACGAAGGAGTTCGTGCCAGATGATCGGACCTAGCTCTTTATCCCCTACGACAAGTTCCGATCTCGTTTATAAGGCGACCCTTCTCTTACCTTTTTAACCCGTGGGAGGCCACTTGGAGGAACGAGGTTGCTCAAGGCTTCCTGAACCAAATCTTACGTCCAAACTCATTTTTAATGTACTAAACATAGAACGTGTTTCCTAAATTTTGTTGAACAACAACAAAAATAGTAGGAACACGCACAGGGTAGCACCATTCACTGCATGTCATTATCTATCACCAGATGGGCACCAGACTGACCAATGTGGCAATCTTGAGAAGCACTCTGCCATGGCTGTTAGAACACGTGACTTCCGCCATTGCCAATCCTGATTTTATGGAGTATGACTTAGGTCTCTCCTATTGTGAGACTGGGCCCAGCCTGGATGGAATTTCCATGGGCAGCACAGGTAATGTGAAGAGATATTAGACAAGGGCGTCTAGACTGGTCCTTTTTTTAACGCTTTAATTCCCAGGGGTGGTTAACCTGTTACTTCTCTTTGTGATCGCAATATGTTATCTTACAAAAAAGGGTCATTTGGCAGACATGCTTATCATCCATAGTGTCTCACCTAGACATAAGACGAGACCCTCCTGTCCGACTTTTATTTGAAATTCGTGGCAACTGGTAGAGAGAACTACTATTTCGAACTTGGAAGTTTTTTGTTGTTGTTTGTTTTTGTTTTTGTTTTTGTTTTCCTTGCTCTCTTTTAACTCGCGCGACGAACAAAACTGAGGAAGAAGGACTGCTCTTTCTACGCTTTGAAGCAAACATCTTGTCAAAAATACCCATAAATGTAAACTCCATGATTGTCTTAATTTCTTTGCGCAATCAATGGATTATGAGCTGGATAATAGTTCAACTTTAGGTAACCTTTGACTTCAATCTGAACATTTCATGTTTCCATATCACGGCTTTGAGTTCGCAGTCATTTCTCAATAAAAAATCTTCGTGTCAATTTAAATATCGCTGATTTTAAACTGACACGCTGTCCAGCTGCATTATCTCTGGACATTTACCCAAGATGAACACCTGTAGCTGTTTTTTTACGGTGTTTTCTTAAGATGAAGTTGATTGATTACACCTGACACCCCTTGCACTATAACCATACCTCAAAGATTGTACAGCCGCCCAGTTAGCCCAATGGATAGTGCACTGGATTGTTGTGCAGGAGGTCGAGGGTTCGAGCCCCGGCCGGACCAACACTCAAAGTCTTAAAATAATTTAGAAGAATTTGCTACCTTTCTATAACATCAAGAAATGGTTAGATATTCTAGTCTTCTCGGATAGGGACGAATAAATGAAGGTCCCGTCTCCTGCAGGGTTTGGGGTAGGAGACGTTAATTTCCCACGCACGAGATTACTGTGTGATGGATGTCCTTCCTTGGGGTGGGATGGGTGGATTTACTGGGCTGTTGCGGTGTTCCTGCCGGTTGGCGAAGCTAAATAAACTAAAATAAACTAATCGTTTTTGTAATTTTGTAATCGTTACGGTGGCCAATTTACCATTTCAACTTTGTTGATATATCCATTTAAAATAAACTAAACTAAACTAGTAAGGTCGACGATTCAGGCACGTGAATTGAGCCACTGTCAATACAGATCGATAGTGACATGAATTGTCCTTTCCTGGATTTTTTTATAGCAGTCATTACGCCAGAAAGTTAAATCTGTTGGCATGTTGCTGTAGACACAATTTACGTTTCACAGAAATGACTCCTTGTCAAATGTATTTTCTGTACAGCTGAAGGAAGAGCTCACGCTCCCCGACCAACGACAGATGAACTCTTTGACCCAGGGGTACTCGCCAACTGTACTGAGCACCTTTGCAGACTGGAGATTTCTCAAGTGAAGTTGATTTCTTACAGGGTAAGTTTATCCGGGTAATTTAGGACGATATTTAAAGCCGTTGTGCAAGCCACTAAGTTGTAGAGTATCTGATGGTCTTACAGAGCACACGGTCGACACATCTAGACTCGAACCATGTTGAACACGAAGGCGCGCTATATAAGGAAGTCTTCCCTGGGAAGACCTAGGCTCATGTGTCACTCACCGTTGACGTGTTCGGGTCAAATTTAAATGCTGGTAGACGAACAAAAGGAGCTAATGAGATATCTATTGTTTACTTCCACCAGCATGGTGGCATGAGGTAACGTGCGAACCACCTACTTCAATCTCAAATTTACCGCCACAAATAAAGACAGTTTCCATTGGAGAAAGGAAATACAAATCTCAAAAATTCTTGTATTGTGATGAAGACATAAAACAATTTTGAGGAATGCGCCCGCTGTTCACTGCTTTGGAGTAGCTGTAGCTCAAGCTGACTTGACTCTAAGAATTCTACATCACACGACGGTTGATTGACAAATCGTCCAGTGGGACCTAAGGCTTCTTTTATAGCGCGCCTTCGTGTTAAGTTAGTCCAGCTCCCGTTTCTTAAGTCCAGGCCTGCTCTTCAACGTTGTATGTAAATCAGTGTGGTAGGAATGTTACAAAGATATAATTTTTATTGTTATTAATATTTATAACTTTCCTAACGTGCTTAGTCGTCGTTGTTAGAGGTGGCTGGCCCTGTAGTAAGGGATGAAAACAGTGAAGCCTCACTATTTTCAATTTTTTCGGTTTTGCGATCACACTTTGTGACTGAATAAACAGATAGGACACTACCATTTGCCAGCTGGTTCGTTCTGATTGGAATGTCCTGGAACGTTGTCCACGCTCACGCCCAAATCACTCGACAAAAACTTATAATAAACTATGGCACTAATTACACTTAATATTCTGAAATCAACACTTCCTAAGAACGATCTCTTAGTTGATGTTTCCGATAATTTCTTTTCTGCAGATAAACAAACTCTTCAAACAGCTTCTGCGAACTGTACTTGATCTTAATCTCCCAAAATACAGCATGAAAAAACGTCTGATGCCAGCTAGGGAATATCTGTCCCGTGAATTGCAGAGATTTCACGGTGTGCTCTACTCAGAAGACTTCAACAAATTTCTCTTAGACCTTTGGAGTCACGTGGCTCGGGTTAGTGTTTAATAGTTATTAAAGGGGTTATTAACCCTTTAACTCCCATGAGTGACCAAACCAGATATTCTCCTAACAGTATCTATACCACATCAAGTAGACAAGTGATGAGAATAAAGAAAAATATTACGTAGGGGATTAGAAGTTGATCCAATACCAAATTCTCCGAATGTACATCACAAGAATTGTATGACAGACAACAAGGAGAAGTAGTAATTAGGTCTTGGCGTTAAAGGGTTAAAAGCAAATTTAGAGGCTTAGAGTACTGCTCGCATTGCGAAGGGATAGAACTGTTGCCTGATTCTTCATAAGGACATTAGCAAGGTGGCTGGGGCGGATCCAGGGGTGGTTCGGTCGAACCCCCTAAATTTTCCCACAGAATTTTCAAAATCTTGGACCCCTCAGAAGGGGAAGAATTCTCCGAATCCCCCTCCGAACCCCCCTTGACTAAATCCTGGATCCGCCCCAGAGGTGGTGTTCGTTTTATGGCAAGTTTGGGACAAAGGTAAACCCCCTCTGAAATATCGAATCTCTGACCTTCGAATTTTTCGAACCGATGCTCTACCATTGAGTTACAAAGACTGTGGTAAACTAAGTCATATGCAGGCTCATATGTGATAAGTTTCCTGCATACTGCTAGGATCAGCAATTTCAGAAGCATCTTGTGAGTTAATTGGGTAACGAAGATGGTAAAGTTTAAATTTAAACTCGGTTGTCGATTTAGAGAAAGTTGTTATTCAGTCATATTCACAAAGAAATCGTCAACTGTTGAGCTCTACGTTTGTAAAAGAGGCATAAATGAACACTGATTGTACCCACCATTGCTAGGATCCTTAAATCAATTCTGTCGTAAAGAAGAAAAAGGGCTATCATTCACAACGAAAATATTTTGCTTTCGTCCAAGAAAAGATGTTTTTGCTTAAGCCCACAAACGGCTGACAACAGATGGCAACGGCTTTAGATTTTTCCACTTCTCTTTTCCCATGTTCGGCTCATCTACTATCTAAGGAATAAACCAAACATCAGCCAGTCAAGCGATAGCAAATAGAATTGGGGGATTTGGGAATGGTAGCATTTTATCGATTTGTTTTGATCGACTGATCTACGCTTTAGATTATATACCCTTTTGTTTTGCACTAGAATTTCGAGGAAGAATGCCGTCGTTTGGTGAGAAGGAAGTCTTCTGCATCAAAACAAAGCCATCTTCTGCAGCAGGCTGTGTCGGTAAGGATTTTACCCTCTCGTTGATAGTGAACTTTCGCTTTTTATACTTCTTTCCCTAGAGTATATTCCATTTTTCAATTGAGTGTCGGGAATTATTCTGGTTTTCAGTGACTTTTTCCTCACTGTGCTTCGTGATTGGTCTAGAGAACTAGGGTCATTTTCTTAACCAATCAGATGTAGAACGAATGCCCCCGACATCTCAGTCACTCGCGTTTTTGTGCGCGTGATGTGTGGATATAACAACGTCGAGGTCTTCATTTTCACCAGTGATTTTTGCCATTGCAATTTTTTTTAGTATCTGATGCAGTTTTTCTATAATAGAGGGAATGGACTTCCGTTCGATGATTTTGTCAAACCAATGGTAAGACAGCTGTTTACAGCTTAACTAATTTACTTCAAGAAGTACAGCAGCATTTTTTTTTAAGCCATCAAGTTTTTATATGTCCTTTCACAATAATCGTATGTCATTGTAGTCGATACTACACATGAGATAACATCACAACAGCTTCCTATGATTTTTCATGGCGTTGACTTCCTCGCTTCTCATAACTGTAACTCACCTCAAATAAAGGGTATGTTTAAGAGTAGTTTGTGTCTTGCAACGCAGTAGAAATATGTTCGATGTGTGCGCTTTATATCTAGGAGTGAGGGTGGCTTAAACGATACAGATTGACTTCACCATTATGTCTATTATTTTTAAGGATCCTGTCCTACAGCACTTGCGGTTGTACACCACTTCAACAGATAGACTTATTTCCAACTGCCACTCCTTTAACAGACAGGTAAGATCCCCAAAGAAGAAATAAATGTTAGAGTAATTTTTAATT